TTTTTTTTGTTGTTCCATAAAAACGACGACGGAAATCAATGCATAGCGTAATGTTAAAAGAGTTGGAAATTTAGAAAAATGACACAAGAAGTAAAGATTGTTTTTGTTTTAAAGAAAAAGAAAAAAAAAAAGAAATCCAAAGAATTCAAAAAAAAAAAAATTAAAATAAAATTTTAGCGAATTCCATGATTTAGGAAAAATGTAACACAGTATTGCTTACTTTAACGTCGTGTTCCATCTTCATAGAAAACGCCACCATCCAAAGCGCAGTATTTAGGACAAATACCCGGTTCGCCAGATTGTCCAGGTTGACCTGGCTGTCCTGGTTCACCTATCTCTCCCGGAATACCTCGTTGCCCAGGTGGACCAGGTGGTCCACGAGCACCAGGAGCTCCTGGCCGTCCTGGGCTTCCGGGTGGTCCCATGTCACCGGGTTCTCCTGGTTGTCCCTAAAAAATATTTTGCGATTGGGATTGTTTTTTTTTTTTTTGTTTTTGATTACAAGCTAAAAACTTCAAGTTTACTATCATCCAAGCTTTGAATTAGTCATCAGTTTTTGAATCAATCAATCAATTAGTCGTAGATTAACCTGTGCTCCAGCTGGTCCTGGATCTCCGGGCGATGATGGCGCGGTGATAACTGAACGACCTGGATCACCGGGTGGTCCGTCTATACCAGGAGTTCCATGAGGTCCAGGTGGTCCTGGTGGTCCTGGTGCTCCTGGACGACCGGGAATTCCGCTACGACCTGGTGGTCCTGGTGGTCCAGATGGTCCTATATTAAAAATTGATAATCGTAAGTATTGTATCATTTGCTTTACTAATTATATTTCATTTCTTCCTTTCATCTGAATAATAATGCCACAACCATCCATAATTCTTGAGGTTGGGAGCAAAACTTACTGAGCAACAATCAATAGAAATGATTCCGAATTTCTTCTAAGATTTGAAACCGGTTTTTATTTGATGTTCATCGATGTGATACAATACATCAATCTTTAAAAAAAAAAAAAAAAGGAAAAAAAAGAAAAAATGCTATTGAATTAAAAAAAAATAAAAATAAAACTGTTCGATTGTTCAAACAGAATTATAATGCATGTTTTCACATTATTATCACGGCAAGTTATCATAAATATTATCAGAGAAAAGAATGAATCATAATTGTTATCAATTTTTAGATGTTATTTAAAATGTCAACTCAGTTCATTTTTTGTCAACTCACTGGTTTTTATGATGTAATTGAATGGATACAAAATTTCAATGCTCCACTTTGTTAGCAAAAAAAAAAAATTAGAAAGAAAAAGAAACAGTAATCAAATATTTTTTAAATAAAAATTTACGAATGAAAGATGACGTAAATGAAGATTAAAAGTTTTTTTTTTTTTAAGGACATACATTAAACAGAGATGAAGTAGTCGGATGGTAAAATGAAAGGAAAACGTTCCGTTCCGGTGGCATGACCGTTTCTATTTCAACATCTGTATGTGTATGTATGATGTATTACTATCTTCAATAGATAGGAAATAATTCAAAGGAATAATAAAAACTTGTTTTGATTAAATTTATATTCAGTTGATAGTAAATCTCAGCTCATTAATGAATCTTTTAATTATCTTAAAAAGATTTATGGGACAACATTGAGTGTCACATTTTATAATTATGATTGCCGCATTCTAAAATATAAGATTATTGAATTCAGGAGATGTTTATTTGTGTGGTAATTTAGTTACGGTAGTCTCTTCGATCTTCTGGGGAACATTGATTCTGTCGGCGTATACATTTATTTCGCTTGTTTGACTTATTTTATCGAAATCTTTCCAAAAATTCGAAAAACATAAACAAACCTTTATCTCCAACTGGTCCGGGTTGTCCTGGAAGTCCTGGTGGGCATGGTTTACAAGGTGGTGGTTCTAACTCCTCACATATTCTGCAAAATTTCGAAGGAAAAAATCTGCATTCAACAGAACATTAAAGCTAATAAGTGTCACCGACACAGCAAGCACTTTTTTTTCCAATAATTCAAATGCTTTTGACAGCCAAATAACACGCTAAACATTATTTTACAATTCAAATATTTCATTTAGGAATATTCCTCTGGTAATTACCAGAGATCATTTAATGACAGCAATTAATATTAAAATACTAAATGAAGTGTCAGCTAAAACTAATTAACCTTGGTGGTCTTCCCGGAAAACCGGGTGCACCTGGTGCACCTGGACGTCCTGGTAATCCTGGTTTGCCGGGTGGTCCATCAGGTCCTGGTAATCCAGGCAAGCAACATTCTGAAGTTTGAAAATATTAGAAATAAAATGGAACGAAAAATTTCACAAATGATGACAAACCTTCGCATCCAGCTTGCCTTTTAGCTCTAGTAAAATTGAATGAATTCCGGATACTATCATCAGCAACATGTAATGCGCCGGATCCTTCAGATGGTGCACGATGTTCACGCATTTCACGCATTACTTCACGGGCTGACGTCTGAATCAAAGTTTAATTTCAGACAATTTCATTAAACTATTCATTATTTCAATTTTTGATAAATCATTTAATCCAAACAATTGTAAGATTAAAATTTAACAAGATATGCAATAATTGATCGATGAATGTTAAGTTAATTTAATCTTCAAGAATAAATATTGCACTTATTTTTAGAGAAATTAGAAATATACGAGAATTTTAGGAATTGATAAAATAATTAATGTTTAAACTTTGGAAATTTTCTAAATTTAAAAATTTTAAAAAAAATTTTTTTAAAAAAAAAGATTATCAACTGTCTTATCACATCTAACATTCAAATATCATTCAATATTACACCTGACAGTATTCCATTTCATCGGAAACTCGAGAACCGATCATGGTAATATAATTGTTGACCATTGGTAATGTGACAAATATGGATAGGATAGCAATAAATGAGAAGGTTACTGCTGTATATGTTACAAATGTATAAGCTTTTTCGCGTGCTTCGATCTCCATCTAAAATAATTTTAAATTTTATAAATTTTTATTTATGAAAATTTCACTTGTCATAGTATCCGCCATTTACATATGATAATCGTTAAATTAGTATTAATTACAAGAAAGGTATAAATTATTAGAGGAAAACCGGATGAAATATTCTGGAACGGAAATGGAATGGAATGAAATGATGATTCATTTGATATTTGATGTAACATTTATAGTTGTATCAGTTACTGGTTTGTAACTTTTATAGTGACAAGGTTACATTCTATAGTGTATTTTTGTTATAAAAGCTAACAATATTTTCATCATTTTCTTTCTCCCTAACCCGATACCGGTTTCATTTAAAGGAAGTACATTGATAGGGTACCGGATCAATGTCAAACAGTTCCATTACCGCGACCATTTTTTT